AATGGTGTTGGAATAACTTAAAAACATGAGGTAAAAATGAAGCTTGACCCTTACTTTGTATCCTATAGAAAAATTAACCTAAATGTGATTAGTGAAATGAAACTAAAAATTCTAGGAGAAAATCTTTACAATCCAGGATAGAAAAGGATTTTTTTCAAACAGGACATAAAAAGCACTAACCAAGGAAAAAAATGATACACTAGACTTCATCAAAATTAAACCCTTATGCTCATCAAAAGCCTCCATCAATGCTGGGCATGGAGGCACACACCTGTAGTCCCAGGTATTCATACTTAGGAGGATTGCTTAAGACTATGAGTTCAAGGACAGCCTGGGAAACATAGCAAGACCTAGTTTCTTAAAAAAAAAAAAAGAGCAAGCCACAGATTGGGAGAAAATATTCAAAATACACAGATCTGACAAAGGACAAATACACAAAATATTTAAAGAACTACAAGCAGTAATAAAAAGGCAAGCCAATTAATAGGGCAAAAGACTTGAACAAACACTTCACAGAAGAAAATATACAAAAGGCCAATAAATATATAGGATGACTCTCAACCTCACTAATTACCAAGGAAATGGAAACTGAAACTACAAGATACCACTAAATGACTAAAAATACAAAATATACACAATGGCTAAATGGCTAAAATTTAAAAAGCAGTAATGAGGATGTGGAATAACTGGAACTCTCATACAATTGTGAGTAGAAAGGTAAAATGGTACAATCACTTTGGAAGATTGTACAGCCATTTCTTATCAAGCTGAATACACACCTACCTGTGAAACAGGTTCACTGTACACTACTTAGCAACTTTTCTGAGTCTGGTGTGACAAAACACCCATGCACACAAGCTACATGCAGCAATTTTATCACACATAGATGGGCTTGGGCTTCAAGGGACAACAGAAGCCTAGGATTCGTTGCAAGCTGGCCCCCAAAGGCTCAGGAAAGCTGCCTGGGCCAGGTGCGATGGTTCTATAATCCTAGCACTCTGGGAGGCTGAGGTGGGAAGACTGCTTGAGCTCAGGAGTTCGAGACCAGCCTGAGCAAGAGCGAGATCCCAGTCTCTACTTAAAAGTAGAAAAATTAGCCAGGCATCGTAGCACGTGCCTTTATTCCCAGCTACTCAGGAGGGCGAGGCAAGAGGACTGCTTGAACCCTGGAATTTGACGTTGCAGTGAGCTATGATGACACCACTGCACTCTACTCAGGGGGACACAGAAAGACTGTCTCAAAAAAAAAAAAAAAACGAAAGCTGCCTGGGGTGGATGGAGTCTAGTCTGCATGTGCTCCATTTGCACCATCATAGCTGAGATATGTTGGAAAGCAGCCCACCGTGGGTTTATAGCTCAGGGTTACAGGACTCACTGGGCTAATGTCAAAGGATATTTTGTTTCTCGAAAGGACTGGAACAGTACAGGCTGTTTGAACCAGTCCTTGCCTATTGCAGGATGTTACATTCCCTGGACATTCTACCGTCATTCTTGTAAACTACAAGGGAGAAGTGGGGGACAACTGGGTTTGTCCAAGGCCACCCAGAGAACTGTCCTTCACTACCCTATGATTCTGCCATTTTATTCTTAAATCTGTACCTAAGAAAAATGAATATTCATAGCAGCTTTTTTCATGATAGCACAAAACTGTAAACAATCAAATTTCTATCCACAGGAAAATGGATAAACAAACTGCAATACAGTCAGACAGTAGAATACTACTCAAAAAAAAGGACTACCGATACATGGAACAACATAGATGAATTTCAAGAACATTATGTTGAGCAAAATAAGCCAGACATAACATACAGTATAATTATTTTTATACTAAGATTATTTACAGGCAAAACTAGTATATGGTTATAGATTTCAGACCAGTAGCTTCACTGGGTGAGGGAAGGGAATTCAAATTGCTTGGAAAAGGGGCATAAGAAAATTTTCTGTGATGATTGAAATATTTTTTATTTTGATGTGTATGCTGGTTATGTAGCTGCATACATTTGTCAACATTCCTCATGCTGTTGTGATTTGTGACTGTACTGTATGTAAATTATACCTTAATAAAATAGTGTTGTAAAATAAGCTCTAAATTAAGTGGA